CCTCTGATAGTCGTTTGAAAAAATATTCTTTAAAAAATCCACGCCTCTGATAGTCTTCAGGAAAAGATTCTTTAAAAAATCCACGCCTCTGATAGTCGTTTGAAAAAATATTCTTTAAAAAATCCACGCCTCTGATAGTCGTTTGAAAAAATATTCTTTAAAAAATCCACGCCTCTGATAGTCGTTTGAAAAAATATTCTTTAAAAAATCCACGCCTCTGATAGTCGTTTGAAAAAATATTCTTTAAAAAATCCACGCCTCTGATAGTCGTTTGAAAAAATATTCTTTAAAAAATCCACGCCTCTGATAGTCGTTTGAAAAAATATTCTTTAAAAAATCCACGCCTCTGATAGTCGTTTGAAAAAATATTCTTTAAAAAATCCACGCCTCTGATAGTCGTTTGAAAAAATATTCTTTAAAAAATCCACGCCTCTGATAGTCGTTTGAAAAAATATTCTTTAAAAAATCCACGCCTCTGATAGTCGTTTGAAAAAATATTCTTTAAAAAATCCACGCCTCTGATAGTCGTTTGAAAAAATATTCTTTAAAAAATCCACGCCTCTGATAGTCGTTTGAAAAAATATTCTTTAAAAAATCCACGCCTCTGATAGTCGTTTGAAAAAATATTCTTTAAAAAATCCACGCCTCTGATAGTCGTTTGAAAAAATATTCTTTAAAAAATCCACGCCTCTGATAGTCGTTTGAAAAAATATTCTTTAAAAAATCCACGCCTCTGATAGTCGTTTGAAAAAATATTCTTTAAAAAATCCACGCCTCTGATAGTCGTTTGAAAAAATATTCTTTAAAAAATCCACGCCTCTGATAGTCGTTTAAAAATATATTCTTTAAACAATCCACGTCTCTGATAGTCGTTTGAAAAAATATTCTTTAAAAAATCCACGCCTCTGATAGTCGTTCGAAAAAATATTCCTTAAAAAGCATATTCTCTTAAAAACACAAGCTTCAATCAATAACTTGCTTTATCGATATCTATTCTACCATATTGTATATATTTAAATAACCCACAATATATATGCAAACAGTAGCATCATTAGTCAACAAAAACTTCTTTTTTATTGACAATCCATTAAGTGTGGTTTTTAGGGGATTCTTACTTGTTTGTCGTTATCTATAAATTGTGAAGATTTTGCAGATTTAAGTTAATCAAGTTTCGAATTTTAAAAAGAATAGACACATACGTTCTAATCAGAATGGCATCTTCCAAGTTGATCATCGCCCTTGCATTGATTGCTGCCGTTGCTATTGTCTTGCCGAGTTCGGCTGAAGCCCAAAGGGGTCGTCGCGGCCGTGGACCAGCCGCTCAAGGTGGACAAGGCGCTCAAGGTGCTGATTGTCCACAAATTTGCCCTCTTCTATTACGTCCTGTCTGCGCTACACTGACTAATGGCAGAAAAATGGAATTTTCAAATTCATGTGAAATGAATGTCGCCGTCTGCACGAAGAGAATTCGTAAGTTTGATGTTTAAAGGTTGAGTTTTTTATTTTATTAAATTTAATTTTTTTTGCAGCTGGAGTTAGATCATCACAAGAAGGATCGTGTTAATTTGCCTTTATATGTATTATTAATTCATGATATTATTATTATTATTTAATTTATATTTTCGTTTTTATAACAAATAAATATTTTTTATATAATTAAAGTGGATTGAGTTTGACTTGCAAAAATATTAAAAAAAGTCTGGATGAATAAAATATACAAACACACTCCGTAAACCACGAGACTCTGGCTTATGAGCAATTTCCTAAGAAACTTGGACCTCAATATATATTTGGAAGGCAATTAAGACTAAAAAGGCCAAATCCACGGTTCCGAAATATTAGTTTTACTAATCAGGACCGACTAACCGATGGCTTTAAAAGGATATGAGTCATAATAGAACAACCTATAGAATGGTGTGCCCCCTGTATCTACTGTTTATCGACTTTAAGAAAACTTTCGACACCTTCAGGCGATGGATTGAGCAATAAGGTGGTACAAACTATAATTAGACATTTTTAGGCCATAGCAACCTTTTTAAAACAATCTGCAACTCTGTTTCTCAAATGACAAAAAGCTCCTGGCGAAACTGTTTAATCTAGGTTTATTTTTTGAAATAGATCCCAAATAACACTGCACCTCAAAATATGATAATTTTAGTTGGAATTTCTGGTTATTAATTAATAGAGTATTTTTATATTTCAATTTTATATATCATCTCATTTGGCATTTTAGAAGCATATTTTTAACTGTATAGTAGATTTATATTGATATTAAAACCGGTTCAATATGAAGACATGAAACAGCTAATGTTTGCACTTAAAATGTACCCAATGCGCACTATGATGACTTGGCAAAAAATAGTGAAGATTATAAATTCAATTAACACAACATAATTTAAATGAGAAGCGTTTAATATATTTAAATTGTTAATTAAATATTTTACATTTTATTTTATATTTTATGATTTTTTACCTATTTAACACACTGTAAGCGTCCAAAGAAAGTGTGTACTTCATTTTATCGTGTTTTTTTATACACTCCTCGAAATATTAACCGAACCATAATGCAAATATATTATCGATCAAAACAAAAGTTTATGTCGATTGTGTATCCATCTGTTGAAATCACAATAGACCTCGCAATATTTAAGAGAGCGCTTTGAAATTCTGTACACGCATTGCAACTTTGTATTGAAAATATACAGTGAGTGTAATAAGTATTTTGCCTCAATACAAATTTGACAAAATTCCAATATATACGCCTAAAGCCAGCATACTAAAGATGTAAAATGAATTATGTATGATAGGATATGTTTGTGGACATATATAGATCTTATTTCTGCAAGAACCCCTGCGAAAGACCTATTGGTCTAGAAGATATCGGCCAAAATCTATACCAACCCAAAAACGATTATCACAAAAAAGTATTTTGCTTTTTATTATTATTTTTGAAAAAATCATTACATAACATACGCTCCGTCTTTTTATAGTTACCATTGCGGGTAACCATAAACTAAAAACGATTTGGCGACGATTCCAATAAACAACGGCATTTTTTTCGTGAATATTTTCTCACATTTACGTTCAATACATTCTCCAGCAATATTTCATTTAATATTTGGTAATTTCTCGTCCTAATCTCAAAATGAGAGTATTAAATATAGTCGTCGCGGCTTCAAAACATCCCAAATAAGTTTAGAATAATAAAAAGGAGGTTTTGCAAAATATATCGCGAGGACAGGACCTTAAAAACTATTAAAACCAATATCCGACAAACAAATTATTTTAAAAAATATCGCGAAATCCCATTTTTCTGACTTTGAAAACTTTATGGTCCATTAATATTGATCTAGGAAACAATATATGCGATGAAAATGGCAATAAGGAGGTCAGATTCAAAGATATGAACGGTTTTGTGGCAATATCAAACATAATTCATTTTACATCTTTAGTTTGCTGGCTTTAGGCGTATATATTAGAAATTTGTCAAATTTGTATTGAGGCAAAATACTCATTACACTCACTGTATATATCGATATCCATCAATAATGGTATCGAGCAAAAATTCGGGATTTTGTATTTTTTTGGTCAAGTTTTCAACCGAATCATTTGAAATTTGGTATTTTGAGTACACACTTGGAAGAAAAGTTCCCACTTTTTATGGCAGCCTCCACATGTCGGTATTAAAATATATTGACCTCTTGTGGGGATGTATCGAACTTATTATACGTTTGGTAAAAGTATTATAATGTGCAAAGTTTAGATGAAATTGGATATTCCGTTCGGCTCATATGAGATTTACAAGTTCTCAAAATATTGATAATTTGTGAGGGAGGTAGTAGAAGAAGTGGACCGATAAGTTCAATCTTCTAACTTTATACAGGCTATGTAAAATCTTTGATTGTGGAAAATTTAATTCAAAGAGAATATTCCGTTCGCATGATTAAAACAAAATATATTTATATATATATTAACCATATTATGGGGGAGTGTAAGGAAATTCTCCATTTTCGTACTTGATTTTTGTTTGTAAGAAGTATTATGATATGCAATATTTGTATGAATTATCCATAAGGCAGAGGCTATAAAAAGTCTCCTAGAACTATGAACAAATTTAATTTTGGCCGGGACCTTATATGGGAACTACGTCAAAATATTGACCTTTCTTTGGCTACAAACTTATGAAATATCGAAAATTGGGTGACGCCATTATATGAAAGTTGTATCAAAGCGTAAACCGATTAAAGTGAATTTTCAAAAGTAAATATTCTGGGATTGTATCCTAGAAATACGTCTGAACTATTTCGTGATTTCAACAGACAGACGTACATTGCTAAATGTACATAAGATTCGCTTATGATAACAAATATTTTGGAATGACAAAAATAATATACACATCATCATATGGCGTACAGTATAACAACATTTTAAACATCAACGTCAATGGTGTACAGTTTTTATTAACGCTCGCAGTATAAGGAAATAACATATGGGACAATATTTGTACAGCAGAAGAGCATTCGTTGTGTGTCGAACATAATGCCAGAAATAAAATATTTAGTAATAAATGTGAACTGCGCACGCACAGTTGCAAAAATAAATGCGTAAGGAAAGCGGTAAAGTCGGACGGGGCCGACTATATGATACCCTTCACCACATTGGGTATATTCAACATAAACATGTCATTCTGCAACCTATACCACATTTTTCAATTGTTCAGATATAGGATTGCTTCTTAAAATTGGACAAAATTATGTAAATCAATTTAAGGGAACCCCACCCATTCTCGATTTTAATTTTTCAAGATTTTCATTGGGCTGGTAAATCAATACCAATGCTAACTTTGCACATATATATTTGAAGATTTAAAAGAGAAGAAGCGTGTCAGCCATTCGCAAAAGATAAAAACACGTTTAAAGTTTGAGAAGCCCTTTAGCCGTCACTTGATGCTGACACAATAAATCGGTTATATCTTCAAGCGTTCTTGAGATTTTCACTTGAAATTTTGTTGAGACATTCTTGAATTAGTGTAGAATCGAATTAAATCAAAAAAAGCAAATATCAATATGTATATATATATATATATATATGTACCGATTTCATCGAAACTTGTCACAGAAACTTGTCTGAAACCGATTTCAAAACTTTCAGTACGTTATGCAAAATTGTACGAACTGATTTTCCCGAAACTTAACACACATCATTCTAGACACCATACCAAAATTCGTGCAAATCGAAAGATATATAGGGACTTTGGTTTACCATTTACTTTAAATCGGACGAAAATATATATGGGAGCTATATCTAAATCTGGACCGATTTTCTGGAAACTCGGCAGAAATCATTCTAGACCTAATTCATTACGCTGTGCCAAATTTCGTGCAAATCGGAAGATATATAGGGACTTTGGTACACCATTTACATTAAATCGGACGAAAATATATATGGGAGCTATATCTAAATCTGGACCGATTTTCAGGAAACTTAACATACATCATTCTAGACCTAATTAAGTACGCTGTGCCAAATTTCGTGCAAATCGAAAGATTTTTAGAAACTTTGGTGCACCATTTACATTAAATCGGACCAAAATATATATGGGAGTTATATCTAAATCTGAATCGATTTTCAGGAAACCCTAGAAACGTCATTCTAGATCTAATTCATTACGCTGTGCCAATTATCTGTCAATCGAAAGATATATAGGGACATTATATATCTTATATCTAAATCTGAATCGATTTTCAGGAAACCCTAGAAACGTCATTCTAGATCTAATTCATTACGCTGTGCCAATTATCTGTCAATCGAAAGATATATAGGGACATTTCGCGCAATTCGAAAGATATATAGGTATACTCGTACACAATTTACATTAAATCGGACGAAAATATATATGGGAGCTATATCTAAATCTGGACCGATATTCTGGAAACTTAACACACATCATTCTAGACCTAATTCATTACGCTATGTGAAATTTTCTGTCAATCGAAAGATATATAGGGACATTGGTACACCATTTACATTAAATCAGACGAAAATATATATGGGAGCTGTATCTAAATCTTGACCGATTTTCAGGAAGCTTAACACACATCTATACCACAGTGTGGTGAAGGGTATAATAAATAATTTTCCTGTATGAACCAAATTGGCTAATTTCAGTAAAACATAGATATATACTCAACATCTAATTTAGTGTTAACAAGTCTCCCTGTAGTATGTAAGTATTTCCATCATCTTATAAATAACGAAAGCTTATTCAAAATATTTCCAAAATAAAGTGAAGCAATAAATCAGATTTTTCATAAAAGAGGTAGACCATTACACAGCGAACTTCTGCTTATATGATTCCGATACCATTTTCATCATTTGTAATATTCAGGAAAAATTACCAATAAAATTCCTAATCAAATAGTCATATTTTCAGAACAAAAGCGTAGCTATTACCACTGAGCTTATATACCGCAGAACTAAATATATCAATGTACTTTTGATGTAATAATATCGGTTGAGAAAAAATCCCCCACATTGATGATTGGTTTTTGTAGATTTTTATTATATTCATTGCTTGTCATTATTATTATTATTCAGTTATTGTAGAACTGGCAATTAAAGCACAACACGTTTTCGTTTCGTTTAAAAAACATGTATTCGTTGGTATCTTCATTACTTTTGTTTTCATTAGTTATAATTCTGATGACGAATACAAATGCTTTAACAGACAACTGTGCGGCACAGCGTAAGTGTTCCACAACTGAGGAAACCGTTTATGCTGTGGACAAGCGTCAATGCTATTTGTTCCGAAATCCGTGCCTATTCAGTTTGGAGCAGTGTCGCCGAAAGGATAATAAACAAAATGGTATGGGTATATTTATGGAATGATGATATTATAAATTTTAATTTAAAATATTATTTCTATAGAATTAAAGGTGGTTTCCAAGCAGGAATGTATGAAGAAATGCCGTGATATTTGTAGTGAAGAATACAGGCCTGTTTGTGCCGAGTATAATGGTGCATTGAAAACATTTTCAAATAAATGTGATTTCCAACGATATAGCTGTAAAAATAATAAGTGTAAGTAATAAGCCGAGGTGTTATTATAAATTATATTTATGAGAGTTTCTATTTCCATTTTAGCCTATATGTTTGTGGACAATGGGGCCTGTAAAGTCTAAGAGGAAGACCCATGTTTGTCAGATTTAAATGAAGGACACTTCAATAAGTTTATCGCCACAGTGCTGAATTAAAACTATTGAATTATAAACAAATTAATATTTATACTCATAATATTTACCGATAGATATAACAGCTTAGGAAAGTCTTTGTGGTCGTTAAAAAAATATTCTTTAAACCCGTAAGTTAAGTTCGAAAGTCAGACGGGGCCGACTATATGATACAATTTAATGTCAATCATCGAGCAAAATATGTAAAAGATCTATATAAAGGGACACAGTGAGCTATCCAAAATTTATCTCAACACAAAATCCAATACAAAACTTGACATGCATCAATCTAGACCTAATTCAGGACTCTGTGCAAAATTTGGTGTCAATCGGACAAATATCTATAGTATGTTGCACTATTTCCATAAAATCGGGAGCTATATCTAAATCTGAACCGACTTCAAGAAAACTTAACATGTTTCAATCTATACCTAATTCAGTACTCTGTGCAAAATTTTGTCTCAATCGCACAAATAGGCTGACTTCCAAAATGTTAATTGCTTTGCATTTGAACAATGCATCCTGTTTCATAATGCAACAGTACATAATATTTATGCCATGTACAGACGAGCGTCGTTCGCTCTCTCATTCGTTGTTCGACCCCTAATTATGAAGTAATTACTTAGTTCCCCATACAAAATTTTCTGAGCGAACACCGACTTTTGTACGTTGTTCAATTCGAATCACTCTCTGAATAACCAACAATTTTGTCCCATCCCTAACAATTGAGAGTATTTATCGAAAATAAATTAATTTTGACAGTTTGAAAATATTTATGAAATTTTCAAACTTTTTCAGTAAAATTGAAAATGATGAATGAAAAGTAACAAATTGTCTAGTTTTTATATATGCAAAAGGAAGTAAATTTTTTAATCTACATAATGCAATATGCCTTTCCTTCCCTTTTTTTCTAATTAGCGTACAAAACGAGAAACAAATGTGGGGAAACCCAAACAAAAATTCTCCAATTTTTTATATGTCACATTTGAATTGAGAAAATATAAAAAATTATTCATAGCAACAATATTTTCAGAAAAAATGGAAAACATGAATTAAAAGTAAATAGATATAGGTTCATACTATAGTCAGGAGAAAGAGAATTATTTTTTCTATTTAGATCCATATGTGATTCACGCAAATATGTTAACATTTTTGTGTAAAACAAGAAACAAAAGTTTGAAATAAAAAAAACTCTAATGACATGAATTAAGAATAGTGTTGTATGAACGGGTTAATTCATGTACGTAATTCTGAGAGCGAACTACGTTGTTCGAATGCCCGTCAGAACATGGCATTACATTGCATACTATTTCAAAATGTCGCTACCACGTATTTGCAACGCAGTTAAAAAGCAATCAGGCATCGGTTTTATTGTTGATGCATTGTTTGTTTACGAGCACAAAATGTAATATCCAAATAAAAAAGTTAATGTCAGATTCACAAAGGTAATTTTAGTGAAAATATTAATATGTGTAACAAATAAATATATTTTAAACGTTGTTCATTGAAAAGATCTTTCCCTTTTTTGTAATTATTTGGGCAGTATTAAAACACATTTTTCTTTTATTTAACTTTTATAAACACATCGAAGTTTGCCAGGATTTTTTTGACAATCTGATAAAATACAAAAATATTGCCAAATATTTTTTTACTGCCTTTCAGCTGTTTTATGAAATTTGTTTATTTCATAAAACAGCTGATTTGTTAGTGATATATTGCATTACATTCATTTTATATTGTAAATGTTTGCAAAGTTCCTAGTTGCGATGTTTAGTTACTTTGCATGTGTACGAAGTTTAAATACCGTAGTGTTATTATATACAAACATTGCATTGATACATTTTGGAAGTCAGCCATATTGGGATTTTGGTGCTCCGTTTATATAAAATCGGACGAAACTGTATATGGGAGCTATATCTAAATCTGAACCGATTTCAACAAAACTTGGCATATATCAATCTAGACCTAATTTAGTACTCTGTGCAAAATGTTGTCTCAATCGGACAAATATTGGCAGTATGGTGTTAGCTATATCTAAATCTGAACCGATTTTCTCCAATTTCAATAGGGTACGTCCTTGGGACAATTAAGTGGCATGTGTGAAATCGGATCATAAATGCGACCTGTACTTTGTTCACAAAAATACATGGATGGGCGGACATGCCTTGATAGTCGTTTGAAAAAATGTTCTTTAAAAAATCCACGCCTCTGATAGTCGTTTGAAAAAATATTCTTTAAAAAATCCACGCCTTGATGGTCGTTGAAGAAATATTCTTTAAAAAATCCTCGCCTTGATGGTCGTTGAAGAAATATTCTTTAAAAAATCCACGCCTTGATGGTCGTTGAAGAAATATTCTTTAAAAAATCCACGCCTTGATGATCGTTGAAGAAATATTCTTTAAAAAATCCACGCCTTGATGGTCGTTGAAGAAATATTCTTTAAAAAATCCACGCCTTGATGGTCGTTGAAGAAATATTCTTTAAAAAATCCACGCCTTGATGGTCGTTGAAGAAATATTCTTTAAAAAATCCACGCCTTGATGGTCGTTGAAGAAATATTCTTTAAAAAATCCACGCCTTGATGGTCGTTGAAGAAATATTCTTTAAAAAATCCACGCCTTGATGGTCGTTGAAGAAATATTCTTTAAAAAATCCACGCCTTGATGGTCGTTGAAGAAATATTCTTTAAAAAATCCACGCCTTGATGGTCGTTGAAGAAATATTCTTTAAAAAATCCACGCCTTGAAGAAATATTCTTTAAAAATGGTCGTTGAAGAAATATTCTTTAAAAAATCCACGCCTTGATTTTCGTTGAAGAAATATTCTTTAAAAAATCCACGCCTTGATTTTCGTTGAAGAAATATTCTTTAAAAAATCCACGCCTTGATGGTCGTTGAAGAAATATTCTTTAAAAAATCCACGCCTTGATGGTCGTTGAAGAAATATTCTTTAAAAAATCCACGCCTTGATGGTCGTTGAAGAAATATTCTTTAAAAAATCCACGCCTTGATGGTCGTTGAAGAAATATTCTTTAAAAAATCCACGCCTTGACGGTCGTTGAAGAAATATTCTTTAAAAAATCCACGCCTTGATGGTCGTTGAAGAAATATTCTTTAAAAAATCCACGCCTTGATGGTCGTTGAAGAAATATTCTTTAAAAAATCCACGCCTTGATGGTCGTTGAAGAAATATTCTTTAAAAAATCCACGCCTTGATGGTCGTTGAAGAAATATTCTTTAAAAAATCCACGCCTTAATGGTCGTTGAAGAAATATTCTTTAAAAAATCCACGCCTTGATGGTCGTTGAAGAAATATTCTTTAAAAAATCCACGACTCTGATAGTCATTTGAAAAAATATTCTTTAAAAAATCCACGCCTCTGATAGTCCTTTGAAAACTATTCTTTAAAAAATCCACGACTCTGATAGTCCTTTGAAAACTATTCTTTAAAAAATCCACGCCTCTGATAGTCCTTTGAAAACTATTCTTTAAAAAATCCACGCCTCTGATAGTCATTTGAAAAAATATTCTTTAAAAGAAAAATCCACGCCTCTGATAGTCGTTTGAAAAAATATTCTTTAAAAAATCCACGCCTTGATGGTCGTTGAAGGAATATTCTTTAAAAAATCCACGCCTTGATGGTCGTTGAAGGAATATTCTTTAAAAAATCCACGCCTTGATGGTCGTTGAAGAAATATTCTTTAAAAAATCCACGCCTTGATGGTCGTTGAAGAAATATTCTTTAAAAAATCCACGCCTTGATGGTCGTTGAAGAAATATTCTTTAAAAAATCCACGCCTTGATGGTCGTTGAAGAAATATTCTTTAAAAAATCCACGCCTTGATGGTCGTTGAAGAAATATTCTTTAAAAAATCCACGCCTTGATGGTCGTTGAAAAAATATTCTTTAAAAAATCCACGACTCTGATAGTCGTTTGAAAAAATATTCTTTAAAAAATCCACGCCTCTGATAGTCGTTTGAAAAAATATTCTTTAAAAAATCCACGCCTTGATGGTCGTTGAAGAAATATTCTTTAAAAAATCCACGCCTTGATGGTCGTTGAAGGAATATTCTTTAAAAAATCCACGCCTTGATGGTCGTTGAAGAAATATTCTTTAAAAAATCCACGCCTTGATGGTCGTTGAAGAAATATTCTTTAAAAAATCCACGCCTTGATGGTCGTTGAAGAAATATTCTTTAAAAAATCCACGCCTTGATGGTCGTTGAAGGAATATTCTTTAAAAAATCCACGCCTTGATGGTCGTTGAAGGAATATTCTTTAAAAAATCCACGCCTTGATGGTCGTTGAAGAAATATTCTTTAAAAAATCCACGCATCTGATAGTCGTTGAAGAAATATTCTTTAAAAAATCCACGCCTCTGATAGTCGTTTGAAAAAATATTCTTTAAAAAATCCACGTCTTGATGGTCGTTGAAAAAATATTCTTTAAAAAATCCACGCCTCTGATAGTCGTTTGAAAAAATATTCTTTAAAAAATCCACGCCTCTGATAGTCGTTTGAAAAAATATTCTTTAAAAAATCCACGCATCTGATAGTCGTTTGAAAAAATATTCTTTAAAAAATCCACGCCTCTGATGGTCGTTTGAAAAAATATTCTTTAAAAAATCCACGCCTCTGATAGTCGTTTGAAAAAATATTCTTTAAAAAATCCACGCCTCTGATAGTCGTTTGAAAAAATATTCTTTAAAAAATCCACGCCTCTGATAGTCGTTTGAAAAAATATTCTTTAAAAAATCCACGCCTCTGATAGTCGTTTGAAAAATTATTCTTTAAAAAATCCACGCCTCTGATAGTCGTTTGAAAAAATATTCTTTAAAAAATCCACGCCTCTGATAGTCGTTTGAAAAAATATTCTTTAAAAAATCCACGCCTCTGATAGTCGTTTGAAAAAATATTCTTTAAAAAATCCACGCCTCTGATAGTCGTTTGAAA